GCTTTATCTCAAGAAATAAAAAAAATGAACAACAGAATTAATGAACTGAAAGGTGGGTCAGAAGAAATACTCAAAATGCAGCACAAAATGAAAGAAACAGGGAAAATACAGAAGTCAGGATACAGGTGACAAGGATTTAATGTACGAATGAGAAAGAGCAGTGAAAAATAATGAGGCAGAAGCAATATGTACAGGCATGAGAGCTCGTACTTTTCTAAAACTTATAAAAGTCATAAATCTACAGTTTTATGAAGCCCGACCAATATTAAGCAGGATTTTTTTGTCTTTTAAATCCTACCTAGAGGAATCACAGTGAAACTTCAGAGCACCAAAAAAGCCAAGAGACCAGGGAATAAAAGCACTTAAAGGAATAACAGAAAGACAGGCGATGTCTCATCAACAAAGGCAGCCAGGAGACAGTCAAGTATTTTCAATGCTCTGAAAGAAAAAAAAAGTCCACCTAGGACTCTCTTCCCAGCAAAAATATATTTCAAGACTAAACATAAAACAAAAACAATGCCAGCCACACAATAGGCAGGAGAGCTCATGACCAACAGCCCCATACTCAAAGCAACATTAAAATTATTCCATAAATGAAGGAAAATGACCCAAGATGAAATGGATGGAGATTCAAACGTTGACAGGCCACAGGGTGGTGAATATACAGGTGAATCTAAGTGAACACTTTCTGCATGAATCTAAGTGAACACAGTACAGCATCATGAGGCTTGACATGAGAACAGGCAGACTTTGAAGACAAGGGTTAATATTCTCTATACAAAGAGCTCCTACAAATCAATAAAAGTAAACAAAAAATGGACAACTGCGATGAATGGCGAGCAGGGTCCGCCTTACTGGAGCCATCCTGCACGTCCATGTGAATGATACACCAGGTTCTGGCCTCTCAGACTGGCAAAGTCTGTTTAAATGAAACAAATCCCTTAGTTGACATGGATGTGAAGAAACAGGTCCTTGAGCCCAGTGGGAAAATGAAAAGTAAAGCCCCTTCAGGAACCTTCTGCTAGAATCCTGAAAACTTTTAAATGAGCATAATCGGATCACAAGCAATTCTTCCCAAAAAACAGGAAATGTATGCACTTTCCAACACTATTCACTGTGACATTTTTCTATTAGCACAACCCTGGGGAAGACATGTCACCAAGAAAAGAAAGGTTAAGGAAATCATTAAGTGTCCACAGCAGGAATCCTCTTCAGACAGTAAGAAGACCCTGGCGACGTCAGCCCTCAAGGGGAAGTCTGTCCGAGATATATTGCTGACATTAAAAAAAAAAAGGCTGCAGAAATACATCATGATCTCATTTTTGTTATGAAATAACAAAGCAACAACAAAGCATTTATATAGATTTCCATATGTACAAAGAAACTTCCAGAAGCACACTTTCTCAACTGCTAGCAGTATTATTTCTAGGAACTTAGAGGAAAGTTAGCCAGATGTGCTTTCTCATTTTATACAGTCATAATTTTTCTTTATAGCATGGCATAACTTTTGTCACTGAAACAAACAAACAAAAAGCAAGGAACAGTGTAATTGCTTTGATGGTTTACCCACTAAGCACCTGGCCCAGGAGACGCACCCAAGGGTGCCTGAGGAGTAAAGGGGAGCTTCATGTGTGGGTTCACCTGCAACAGCAGGAGTAAGGTCTGGTCCAGAGTAACTGTTTGGTATCAAGGGGCCTCGGCCCAGAGCAAGGATGACAGGCCAAAGGCCCTGCTCAGACAGGAAGAGGCCGGTGCTAGGGAGAACCATCCCCGGGTTGAGTAAGTGTGGGAGCTTGGTTGGGTTGAAGGGGAACCACTGAAGCTTCCTGAGCGAGGGGTGATGGGTGAGATGGTACACAGCCTAGGAAGATGGGGAGGCTGCAAGGCCAAAGGTTACAAGAACAGCCACACAACACAGAGGGGAGACACCCTTTGTCGAGTGGCGCCAGGACCCGGGGCTGAAGCATTGGCACTTCCTCAGCTGTTCCCCAGGAAGGACAGAACTGGGACATGTTTGTGGGGTTGCAGGAGCCCAGAGAAAGGCCTCTAGCCCACTAGGCCAAGGGGTGACTCTCAGGAACATGCAGGAGTGAGCCAGGCACAGACAGGCCAGACGCTTCCACACAGCCACACCGTCCCGTTGCCATGGAAAGTGGTAACAGAGGAGTGGCCATGGGGGCTGGTCAGGGGCAGGCCGAGAGGCAGGCGGGTCCTGGGAAGAGAGAGGCGTTCGGGATGGCGCAGAGGGGACAGTGGCATCTCTCACCGATATGGGTAAGGAGGGAAAGGAGGGAGCCAGAACATGTAACCAGCAGAAGACATCGATGCACGGAATCCCATGTGAAATTCCACCAGCTGGATCATTTATTCATTTATCATTCATAAGTGAAATGAAAAAGTCAAATTATTGTACCTCTCCTTTTTCATTCTAGTAGGAAGAAAGCTTAAACAAGATGGAATGAAAAGCTGTGTGACAACCCTTCTCCAAGTTCTTTACATGTCAATCTAAAGGATTTCTCTCTGCCACATGACCTTGACAGAAGAGATCAGTCAGTCTCCGAGTTGCTGCACGTTGGACCCCAGGAACAGGGGTACAAACACTCAATGTTCTGGACGAAAGCTTCGTTTCCATCTGTCTGTTGAGCTGTACTCTTCTGGAAGTTGAGGCATCTTACCCCCTCAGCAAGAGGGTGACCTTGAGGAAGGTGACCTTCAGGAGGCTCCTCCAAGGAGGTGAGGCTGGATAAGCCTGACTCACTCACTGAAGCCTTCATCACTCAAGTTACTGAGGCATGACTGACAAACAAGAATTGTATATATTTACGTTGTTCAGTGTGACTTCCTAAGATGTACGTCAAGATGGTTTAATAGACATACACATTGTGCAGTGCTCACCACAGTCAGCTGGGGAACAATCCATCACCTCACATCGTAACCTCATCTATGGTAAGAACACTCGTTTCGGCAAATTTCAAGTGTGTGATCATCACACTGTGCCATGTGCTCCCCAGAATTTGTTCTTCTGAAAGTCTGTACACTCTGACCAAGAACCCCCATCTTCCTGCCCACAGGAAGCCACCTTCTAGTCCCCAATTCTATGAACTGGAGATTTTAGATTCTGCCCAAGTGAGATCATACAGTATTTGCCCTATTGTGTCTCATTCATGATTAAGACTCAGTCATGTTTCGATTGGCAGGGTTGCCTTCTTTTCCACGCCTGTATACTATTCCATTTCTCTGTCCATGTTCCAGCTGCTTCATATCTTGTCTATTGAGAATAATGCACCAAAGAAGAGGCACGACTAGCTCTTTGAGATAGGGGTTTCATTTTCTTCAAATATATGCCCAAATATACGCTGGGCCATACGGTAGCTCTATTTTTCATTTCTTGGAGAAACGCCACACCATTTTCCACAGCGACTGCAGCAGCTTCCATGCCCACCCACCGCACAGAAGCCCCCTATCCACCGACATGTCTCTTGTCATCTGGAGTGAGGTGACAGCTCGCTGGCCTTGACCTGCACCCCTTGAGTAGTGATGGGAGCACCTTCACGCACCTGGTGGCCATTTAAATGTCTTCTTCGGAAGGCTGTCCGGTCTTTAGGCTGTTTTTTAATTGGGTTATTGGCAGATTCTTCCTGCCCAACATAGGCCTCCCTCCCCCTCCCACCCCCAAAGCCAAGAGTCCAAGCTGTGAGCTCTCTGCTGTGTGTGACGCCCCCTCCCTCCTGCTGTGGAGAAGGCACACTTCTGTCCCGCAGGCCTGAGCGGGCCCCATGAAGGTCATGGACACATCCGCCGGGTTTGCTGGCAGGGACAGTGACACAGCTCCTCCCTGCTCCTCCTCATTTCCCGTGACCAGATTCGGGCTGGGTGTTCTTAGTTTTCCTCTGATGCCACTGACAGCAACTAGCAGCACGTCTAAGTCCACAACAGCTCAATCCTCCATCAGGTCTATTTCTCTAAGCACCTGGGAATGGCCAGAGGGGCTCATTAACCAAACCTTTTTTGTCTGGAGTCTCTGCTTGTTATCAGCTCCAGACAGATGATCAATAGGCCGGCCTGTTTAGGAATGTCAGTCTGAATATTCGCGCAAGGAGCGAGCAGATTATTAGTGTGGCTAATGAGCCCGCGGCGGGCACTGCCTGCCACGGGCTGCACTTCTGCCTGGGAGCGGGCTGCTGCCCCTCATCGCACAGAGACAGTTTTCGGGGGTCTGTTCTGACTCTTGTTTGCAGCGGCTCCTCCTGCCTGGTGCATTTTTTCTTTCTGTGGGGACCTAATTACAGTGCCCACGCAGCTCTCCAATCCTCCCACCTGCTCCCTTTTGGGGGTGTCTGGACACTGCAGACAGGACGCACCTCACCTCGCACACTCACTGAGGGATGCTGTGTGCAAAGCTGCGCAGCCTGGACCCCGGTCCAGGGTGCACGACCAGCCCAGAAACGCGGCCGCTGAGATCATCTATCCTCACTCAGCAGTCATGGATGTTGTAACAGCGCCCCTTGGCTGTCTCCCGGGCCAGCGCCGTCTGCACGGTGGCAATTACACTCTCAGGTCATCCTCACTGGCCCCCCAGGATGGGCAGCTATGTCTTCATTCTTCAGATAAGGCAAGTGAGGCTTCAAGAAGTCACATCATTTGCTCCAGGTGATGCAGCTAGGAGGTGCCAGAGCTGGGCCAAACCCGAGCAAACGCATGCACATGACACTGTGGGAGGCTGCTGCCTCATTCCATCCACCCATCTATCCAGCCACTCACCCACCCACCAACAGGCACTGGAGAGGCACCTCCGGGGATGGTGTTCAGACACCACCTTATTTGAGCATTTCTACAACGGGGTAATTACTCTGGCTTCTGGGTTGGAAGTGTGGATTGTCTGCTTCCTACGTCTCCCAGACAGAAACCCAGAATCAAGGTATTTGAGAGCAAATCCACATTAGAGGCATCCATAGGCCCGCCCGGGCACGGTGCCCTCGCCCAGCACCCCAGGCCCTTACCATCTCCGGTCTTGCTTGGGTTGGTGGGTTCAGGGGTGCTCAGTGGTCTAAGGGGAATGATGATCTCATCCACATTAACCCCTTCTTCTGTGTGCTTCTCAGAAACGTGGGACAGGAGTTCCGACTGACTTGGTGAGAAAAGGTTGCAACATTTACACATGAAGATGGCCGTGTTCCCTGCAAATAAAAAAGGCAAAACATGTTATTTCATCCTTACAAGAGACGATGCACACTTCCACTGACCACTTAGCCTGGCTGCCCTCCTGTACTGGCCAGCCCGGGATCTGGCCTGGACGTGGCAAAGCCAAACAGAGCTTGGCACCCGGAAACTCACATCCAACCGTCACATGAACGGGCACTGACGGTGGCGGGTGCTCCTGCTGGCTCAGCCCAGGCACAGGGAAAGTGGAAGAAAAAGCCATTTCTCGGGAGCCAAGTCACCCTGCCCGGGCTGGCACAGGAGCTAGGAACCAGGAAGGGATCTGTGGCCTTTTAGTCACTTAATTCCTACTTAACGCACTATCACCGTTCACAAATATTTACTAATAGTCCATTATGTTCATCCCGTTATACCAGGAAGGAAGACATAATGGGAATAAAAAACCTCATTTTTGAGTCTGATAAGGCAATTACAGGCACATATAGGAACATTAAAGTTAGGATGCAATAACAATTAAAAGCTGGATTTTAAGGAAGAATTTTATGATGCAAGAGACAACAACCATGAAGCCAGACAAGTCCACAAAGTGCTGAGGCCGAGGCGTCAGCCAGCAAGTGCCCGCTGTGTCGCCGTCAGGCTGGCCGGCTGCACGCGGAGCTCCGGGATGCAGACACATGGGCCACCTCCCAAGGGAGAAGGGTCACGGCACCACGACCGAGGATGGTGTCACATCCTGAGGTCAGCAAGTGGCCTGAACTGAATGCAGGGTCAGGGACAGAGGAGTACAGGGGGCAACGGGGGCGAGTCCAGGGCCCAAACCGCTGCCCCTCCTGAGCTGGACTGCAAGTCTGCAGAGAAGCTGTGCACAGGGGGACGGGGGCTGCTGACAGCCTCCCTCTCTGATTTTCCCCCGGAGGCCGCTGGACAGTCTGGAGCACCTGGCTGTGGGCACCAGCCCTGCAGCCCAGACCTCTGCTCCCCACAAGGCTGAGGCACGCGCAGCCGGCACAGGTTGTCACCAGCAAGAGGCCCAGAACCCACCAAGGCACCACCATCGTCCACTACGTGAACAAGGAAAACCGTGCACAAAGCTACTCAGAGCGAAGGCCTGGAGCCACCAGCGAGCTCCAGGGGGCGGATAACACACACCCACACAAAAGTCAGACGCCGCCTCTGAAGATCACGTCCCCCAATGTCCCGGGTGGCGTGGGGGACCCCAGGAGGGCGGCTCAGCTCTGAAGACTGGGCAGCCCTTCTAAGCAGCACGTGTAGCCTGTTGCTAACCGACACATGGATTTACGGCGGGACGGATGGAGCATGGCGAGCCAGGCCGAGGAAACACACGAGATTCGATGGCTCCACCTTCCTTCCGTGGCTGACGTGCTTCCTAAGTAACGCTATGTGGCTTTTTAAATCTGGGAAGCTTACCTGATCTCCTGAAAGCAAGGTAACAGTCAGTCAGTCAGTCAGGACACAGTTCTGAGTGACAAGCCCAGGTCAGGACAAGCCCAGGTGTAGACAGGACTGTTCCCCAGCCCAGCGCACAGTAGGTGTTCACCAAGTGTGGGACGGGAAGTGCATCCTGCAACAACAAGCACTGTGCGTGGGGGAAGGCAGGCACCCTGCCACACCCTTGGAAGGCACCAGGGAGGCGCCTGAGTAGACCCTGAAAGGTGGTCAGGAGCTGGACTGCTGTCCTGGGCAGGGCACCGGGCCAGAAAGCACCGTGCTTGGGCTCACGGCCACCACAACCTTGCTCAGGTGCCCTCCCGGCCCCAGGACCCAGGCTCAGGACCGCACGCCATGGGAGCAGAAGGGCGGGGAAGCCAGGAGCCAGGTTCAGGACCTGGGAAATCCATCTTGGCGGCCCCGGGCCCAGGGTCTCTGAGGCGCCACGGGCCCTGCCAGGGTCAGCGTGGGTCAGAGCCACGGCTCACACCAGCCAACAGGCCCATGAGCTGTGCCCCTGGGTGGGCACCACTCTGCTGTCCTCGGGGTGAGCTCCCGCTGAAGACAAGCCTGTTTCAGAAGCCCAGCAGAGGGCGTGGTGTGCCTCTCAAACCCACTCTGTGAGTGCCCCAGGCCCCGGCGCACAGAGCTGTGCAGAGAGCGAGTGTAGACAGCAGAGCGGAGCGGGTGTAGACAGTATCTGCATCCCCAGATACTCAGAACTGTGGAGCCGCCAAAACAACAACAGAGAAACTATTTTCATTTTTATAGTGGGCTAATATGAAAAAAATGTATCTTATACCCCGAAATAAAATCCTAATTATGTTGTCAGCTAATTCTGATGAAGATGCTATAATTTGGATGCATTTTTAGGTCCAATTACTGTGCACTTATCCTTAACAAAAAGAATTCAGAGGCAAAATGATGTGTTCAGCACAAGGAAAATCACAGAAGTTCGGGGCTTGAGCACTCCTCTCTGTGAAGCAGCTGCCGCCTGCGAGTTTACTCTGGCCAGTCTGTGCTGGTGAAAAGGAAAATCTTAAAATAACTGCATAAGCAAGTCCCAGCTCTCCATTCTGATTTGCAAACACTCCCAGTCAAGAACAGCAGGGTCCCATCTGCCACCTCTGACTTCTGCCTGCTCGGCACCACCCTGCCCAGGGACCCAGGTCGGAATGTGGGTGCTGACCCCACTCCCCGCAGAAGGTCATGAGCTGCGATGGGGCCAGAGGTCCAGGAGGTTGGTGGGGCGCCTTCAACTCCGGGGAGTCCCTGGGAGCTGCCAGTCACAGGCTGTCTGGTGGGGGCTCTCCCACCCCCCCTCTGGCCACAGGCAACACACGTGGTCAGCTGAGCCCGCCTGCTCCCGAGGGACGCCTCCCCGAGTCTCAGGCCTCAAGTAAATGGGCAGAGGGTCCGCTCAGCCCTGAGCTCCAGGCAGCTCACGTGACCCAGCACACGGTCAAGGGCAGCCCTCCCTCTCTGCCACTGTCCACTGCAAATCCATCCCCAGGGGAGGCTGGAGGGGGTGGACATTCTGGGGCTCCTGGCCCTACACCAGCATGGCGGTCGTTGCCTTAGGCACCCCCATGCACATATATATTTTTAAAATGTTGCGGTAACTCTCTGTGGCTGGCAGGGACACAGAGCAGTACAGCTCCTGAGGGCTGCCTGGCCAGCAGACTCTCACCACACGAGCCACCGCCATGCTCCTGGCATCTGCCCGAAGGGACTGAGCGCTTCTGTCCACACAAACACGGAGCGTGCACAGCGCTTCACTCCGATCTGCCAGAACCTGACGCCTGCCTAGTGCCCGACAGTCGTGAGCGGGTGACTAAAGCTCGGGGGTCCGGACACGGGGCACTATTCAGAGCTGAAGAGGGGGTGCTCTGGAGCCACAAAGAGGCTGGGTGGACACTGCTGAGGGGAAGAGGCCCATCTGGACCAGCCGCCACTGCCCGCTCGCTTCCAGCTCTGACCTGGAAAAGGTCCAGCTGCAGAGATGGTGATGAGACCAGTGGATGTGGGTGGGGAGGGCGCGTGCCAGGCCAAGCCCAGGGGCCTGCGGGCAGGAGAGTCCTCTGCATGACACCCCGCTGGGTGAGACCCCACTGGGGCAGAGGCCACGAGGGCGCCCTGGTGTGGACCGAGGCCTAGGCTGGCAGGTCTATCCTTACAACGCCCCCACGCCGGGAGCAGCGGTGATTGCGGGCAGCTCTGCCCTGGGGGGCGGGGGACACGGGGAACCGCAGTGCTGCCCATTTTATCCTAAACCTAAAACTGCTCTAAAGAAAATTAAGTCTTAAAAAATACTAAGGATCCAGAAAGATGGAGTAAATGGACCTTCCCCTATGCTGCCTGCTGAGCACAGCTGAAAGCCCTTGTAGGGTAAATGATGCTCAGGCTTTTGTGCCGCTGGCCTCTGTGGCCATCACCTGCGGCCTGAATGCAGGAGGCGCTTGGGAGTGTGGGCGCAGGGCCCGCGGGCCTGATGGTGGACACCAGAGCGTGTGGGGCGTGCATGAGTGGGCACAGCTGAGCCTGGAGAAGGGGCATATAAGGACGGTGTCACAGAGGACGGAGCGCCACAGAGGACAAGAGGACCATGCTGCAGAGAGCAGTGGAGAGCGGCGACCAGAGGAAGAGCCCTCGAGAGTAAAGACTTGCCCAGGGCTGGGAGGCCTGCCAGCACCCTGGCCCCCGGGCCCCCCACCTGCCCTACGCCTGGTTGCCTCACTACAAATGGTGCAGGAAGATCATTCAAAGTCTGAAAAAGCCACTGAGGGCTCCAGGGCTCTCCTTGCCCGGTCTGCCCAGACACACAGAGAAACTGCCTGTGCCTTCCTGCCACTGCAGCCCTGGGAGGGGACGAATATGGCTGTGAGGGCCGGCGAGACGCCGCCAGCTGACAACCTCCAGGAGCAAGCAGTAAGCTCGGGATGCCGGGGTTTCCTTTTTTTTTTTTTAATTTATTTACTTATGCATACAAGAACTGGGGTGTAAGTCAGAAGTGCGGGAGGAGAGAGGTTTCACCAGAGACAGAGTGGGGAACAGAACAGGCAGACTGAGTGAAATACACGGCTGAGGGGAGCAACAGGCAAGACAGGAGAGGTCTGCTGGGCCATGTGGGTAGCTCCCTGGCCGGGGATCGAACTCATGCTACAGCGGCTGGCGATAGCTTGATAGCGCTGTCTTTAATCCCTGCAACACCCGGGAGGCCCCTGTCGGGTTTTCTTTTCACCTAGATGTCAGCTCTCTGGGGCGAACAGGCCAGTAAAAGGACGGCCTCCAAACACAGAAACTTCCAGACAACACCCAGCCCATGACAGTCAAGTCCCAGAGAACAGTGTGCCAGCCCAGCCCAGCCCCATTTCCATCCCATCCCGTTCCTCTCCTACCTCATCCCACCCCACCCCAGCCCAGGCCAGCCCTAAATCCATTCTGGGAAGCCTGGGCCCTGCCCCACCAGACAACTAGCCAGGCGGCCTCACTCCCTGCTGGGCTGGTATAGGTGGGCTTGCTCAGGCCTGGGACCTCACCCTCCACCACTGTGTTGTTGGAGCCACCA